CCGGATTCCTGGCCCCGCGGCCCACTGTGAGTCCGCAGCTCTGGGCCGCATCTCCAGGGCTCCGCTCTTCACCTGCCACATGGGGCAGTGAGGATGTGCGTGCCTGGGAGGGAGGGAGGACTCAGCCAAGTGGCCCGTCGCCCACCCCTCTCCCAGAGGGAACTAGCGAACACTTACACTGAGTCCTTCCTACAAATTATCTCACTAGGTCCTGCGAGGAAGGTACTATTATTGCACCCATTTCACAGACGAGGGAACTGAGGTTCGGTGAAGTTCCCCACAGCCAGCACGCAAAAGCAGGCACCTGGCCTGAGATGACAGGCGACCTGCAGGTGGTCAGCGGCCTGGTCTGTACCGATCACTTCCTGGGTCCTCACCGCAATCCTGTGTCCCTGCCCACCCACAGTGACTTGGCTGGCCCGGGCATGGCGGACCCAGTAGCGGGCATCGCGGGCTCGGCCGCCAAGAGCGTGCGGCCATTCCGCTCAAGTGAGGCCTACGTGGAGGCCATGAAAGAGGACCTGGCCGAGTGGCTGAACGCCTTGTATGGCCTGGGTCTGCCCAGTGGTGGTGATGGCTTCCTGATGGGGCTGGCCACGGGCACCACCCTGTGCCAACATGCCAATGCTGTCACCGAGGCCGCCCGCGCTTTGGCTGCTGACCGCCCGGCCCGCGGCGTGGCCTTCCAGGCGCACAGCGTGGCACCTGGCTCTTTCATGGCCCGCGACAACGTGGCCACTTTCATCGGCTGGTGCCGAACAGAGCTGGGTGTGCCTGAAGTGCTCATGTTTGAGACCGAGGACCTGGTGCTTCGAAAGAACGAGAAAAGCGTGGTGCTGTGCCTGCTGGAGGTGGCGAGGCGTGGGGCCCGCCTTGGCCTGCTCGCCCCTCGCCTCGTGCAGTTTGAACAGGAGATTGAGCGGGAGCTACGCGCTGCACCCCCGGCGCCCAATGCACCCACAGTGGAAGAGGGCACCACCGAAACTACCACTGCAGCAGGGGCTCCCTCCCGCAGCCCCCGCATGACACCCAGTGACCTGCGCAACCTCGATGAGCTGGTGAGTCCGCCAATGAGTGCGTGCGCCCACCGCACTGCTTATGCCCTGCCCCCACTGTGTGCCGGGGATGGAACAGCCTGCCCCATGGAGTGTGCCTATGTTGAGCATCAAGTGTATACCTGGCCCCAGAGAGATAAGCGGACCCAGAGAGGGAGAGGTGCTGGGTGAGGTCACAGGGCCCAGCTGGGCCTGGGAGAAAATCTGAGCTCCCCTGCATGATCTCCCCACTTCTTTTAAGGGCTATGCGTGCAGACAAGTGCTGTATACTCCTTCATCCAGGGGGCCGCATGATTTGGCCCCTTCTGTATCGAGTGCTAGACGGCTGCATCCACGACATCGCGGAGCTCGAGGTTGGGTGGGTGCCGGTGACGCTTGGCTCTGAGCAAGGTGCCTGGCACACAGGCTCTCCATGAGTGCCTAGGGAAGCTCCCAAGGGCTCTACAGGCCCACCCACTCCCCAGGGCTCTGCACATATCACTTATCTGGGAAGCCAGGCCCAGAGCTGCTGGCTGCTGCTGCTAGGAGCCAGAAGTCCTCTTAAGAGGACAGGATTAGCTCGACTGTGAGCAAAGAAGGTGCCAGACCGGGCCCCCAGCTCCCTCCTCCTTTTCCCAGGACCTAGGTATTCCTGACACCCCCGCAGCCTGGCCAAGAGTTTCCTTCTTATCAGGAGGTTAGGACCATGATGTGCCTATCTCGGGGGTGGGGGGTAGCTGGATGGCCATGGGCAGAGGCTGCCACCCCACCCCTGTCTTGGGCCAGGGTCACCCGAGACTCCACCTGCTGCTCATTTCCTCTGGCTCCACTGTGGGCTGGGAGGCGGGCAGGGCTGCCCACATAGCCAGCCTGGCAGCTCCTGGCCTGGGGGCGGGGGCCATGTGGGCAGATGTGTGCTCGCTGGGCTTGCAGCCTGTGTGTACATATTGGGGTAGTGTGTGTGTGCATCCTACGTGTCCCTGGCACCAATGTGGTGTGGGTCCCCTGCACCCGTGTCCCATGGCCTGCCTCCTCCCAGGACCTGGCCTCCCTGTGGGCCTCAGCTTTTGTCTGTGAAGTAGGTGAAGGGGGAATGAGGACAGGTTCCAGACTCAGGGGCTGGAGGGATGTGCTTTGCTGGGGTCCCAAGCCCTGGCCGGACCACAGCGCCACCACCCTTTCCTGGTCAGCTCCCTGACCTCTAATAGCCAAAGAGGAAGGGGAGCTGCTGAAAGGTCAAATGTTGAGCCTGCACCCAAGTCTGGGGCAAGCTAATCTGTGTCCCCTCTGCCCGGAAGGACCTGCTTCCTCCTCAGCCTGGAGCTGCTGACATCAGGCCCCAGGAGGAGGGACTTGATCCCTGACCTCCAGCCTCTCCTCTCTGGCCTCAGGTGAGGGAGATCTTGGGCTACTGCACCTGCCCAGACCAGTTTCCCATGATCAAAGTCTCGGAGGGGAAGTACCGCGTGGGAGACTCCAGTCTCCTCATCTTTGTGCGGGTAAGAGCTGGGGGCTGCCCTGCAGGCAGCAGCCCACAGTGGGCGACCTGGCCCACCGGACCGGCTGTGACTCGCCCCACGCTGGGCTCCCACAGGTGCTGAGGAGCCACGTGATGGTGCGCGTGGGTGGTGGCTGGGACACTCTGGAGCACTATCTGGACAAGCATGATCCCTGCCGCTGCTCCTCCTCAGGTCAGTACCCGTGGCAGGGGGGCGGGCGGGCAGGGCACGCCTGTGTCCGTGGCACCACCCTTCACCTGCCACCTGTTCTCTCACCCTGCAGCCCACCGCCCGCCCCAGCCCAGGGCGCGTGCCTTCTCCCCGCAGAGGGTGTCGCCCACCCCCAGCCCCCGTGCTGGCAGCCCAGCCCCTGGGGGCGAGCGGCGGAGTTCCCGCCAGGAAGTGACGCCCATTAGCTTACGGGGCTCAAAGGAGGGGACTGAGACGCCCCTCAGGTGAGAGGCAGGAGGACCTGGGGGTGAAGGGTCTAGAGGGTGGGGGTGGGGGGCGTCCGCCCTGGCCTGGATGACGAAGGAGCCTGTGCTCCAGAGTGACTCACACCCTGGGAAAAGTTCCCGTGGGTGGGGGCAGGCCTGGCTTCCTATCTCCATGACAACCCAAGCAACCGAACAACACAGCTGGGGCAGGCCCTGAGGGCTGGGCAGCTGCCAGTCCTCCCCGCTTCCCTCTGGCCTGCCCAGGAAGCTGGAGGCCTGGGAGGGGGAGCTCGGAGCCGGCTCCTTCCGCTGCCTTGGGGGGGGGGGTGCCCTGGCTGACGGAAGCTGCAGCCGAGTCCTGCACTTCTCTCTGGAAGTCCCCAGGACTGACCAGAGCCCTTGACGGTCCCCACCACCAGCACCCACCACCACCACAGGTGTCTTCCCCGCCCCCGACCGCTTGGCTGCTTGTTCCTTCCTCTCGCTGCCCCTGCAGCCTGCCGTCCTGGCTCGAGTTGTCCCATCTCTGTCGTTCCCCTGCCCCAGGGCCCGGGACCAGCTGCCACCGCACCCCCGCTCCCGCCGCCACTCCGGGGACAGCGACTCCTCCGCCTCCTCAGCCCAGAGCGGCCCCCTGGGTGTCCGTAGTGAAGATTCAGGCACTGGTTCCCGGAGGGAGCGGCCCAGCCGGCGGTTGACCACAGGCACCCCGGCCTCGCCAAGACGGCCCCCCGCCCCCCGCAGCCAGTCCCGAGACCGACTGGATCGGGGGCGGCCCCGCGGGGCCCCCGCAGGCAGGGGAGCCCAGCTGTCGGCCCCCAGCCCTGCCCGGCGGGCCCGGAGCCAGAGCCGCGAGGAGCAGGCCGTGCTGCTGGTGCGCAGGGACCGAGACGGCCAGCACTCCTGGGTGCCCCGGGCCAGGGTCAGTGGGGGCTCAGGCAGGAGCAGTCCCCAGACCCCCCGGGCTCGCAGCCCTGCGGCCCCCCGGCTTCTCCGGGTCTCCAGCCCCAGTCCCGAGTTGGGCACCACACCGGCCAGTGTTTTCCGCACCCCCTTGCAGCTTGACCCGAAGCAGGAGCAGCAACTGTTCCAGCGCTTGGAAGAGGAGTTCTTGGCCAATGCCCGAGCCCTTGAGGCTGCTGCTGGTGGGACGCCCCCTGGACCAGCCTCTGACCCAGCTCGGGCCCCAGACCCTCCGGCTCCTGACTCGGCCTACTGTTCCTCCAGCTCCTCCTCTTCATCCCTCAGTGTCCTGGGTGGCAAGGGTGGCCAACCCGGGGACTCTGGCCGGATGGCCAATGGGCTGCCTGGGCCCCGAGGCCCGGCCCTGTCCAGCTCTTCCGATGAAGGCAGCCCCTGCCCTGGTGTGGGGGGCCTGCCAGAGGCACCTGGGAGCCTGCTGGCCGGCCTGGAGCTCCCAAGGACCTGGGCACGGGGCCGGATAGACACACAGCCAGACCGAAAACCCTCACGCATCCCCACACCGCGGGGCCCTCGCCGCCCATCTGGATCCACAGAGCCTGGGTCCTGGCATGCCCTGCACTCAGCGAGCCCAAGGGCAGAGCCGGATTCCTGGATGTGATGAACCAGCCCAGCTGCTCCCAGGCCCCCTTACTTCCCTTCCTTTTCCTTTGTGGCCTTAACCCCTCTGCATCAGGGAGCCCCCCCACCCCTGCCTCTTGGGTACCAGACCTCATGGGACCAGACCCCTTGGGACCACATGGCACAATGGGACCTCTGTTGTACATTCCGGTTGGGGGATGAGCGTTGCTATTTAATTACTAATATTATTGAATGCCTTAGAGGAGGCCAATGAGGACCCCTCCTGAGGTCCTGTGGCCCTGCAGAGCCTGACAGTAAAGTATTGTTCCAGCCACTTGTGTCCGTTTCTTGGGGCCATCACACCTTTTGGGGGGCCCTTATTACATGGCGGGATTCTGGCATTAACTGCCTGGGAGCAACGCCCGACGGCTCCAAGCTCTGGGGCTTCTGACCACACTGTGAACCCAAGAAACTCACCAAGAGGTGCGTGCGAATTGTTCTCCCCCTTTATTACCTCCTGAGAGGAGGTGACTTAAGAGTTTGTCCAGTGAAGCCGCAGGAGCCACCTGACAGCTTCCAGTCATGGCCAAGTCCCTTCCATCCAATGGAAGTGTAACCCCATGAGGTCCCAGAAACGCCTGCTCCAGCCGGATGCAGCTTGGGGCCTGGCTGGGTCCACTGAGGCTCAGAGAGAGTCCTGTCGCCCAGGAGACTGAGTGGGCGGCTTCCTCGTCCCATCAGGGAGGAGGCTGTGTCCTGCCCAATCCGAGACAAGTTGGGCAGCTTCGTCCAATCCAGGTACCCGGTTGTTCCAATCAAGCTGGGCCCCTCCCGCCGCCGGCCTCGGCGTCGCGGTCCAGTTCAGTCACATGAGGCTGCAGCGGGCCGGGTGCAGCGCCCCCTGCAGGCGCAGGGCCGGGTGCGCAGGGCGCGCGCGCACCAAAGCGCAGCGCAGCAGCTCGCGGAAGAGACGCAGCACGTGCCAGTTGTACTTGGCGGAGCACTCGAGGTAGCCGCAGCGCCAGCCCCTGCGCACCAGCGCGGCCAGCGCGCGCCGAGGCCCGAAGCGCAGCCGCTGCCGGTCCCTCTTGTTGCCGACCACCAGGATGGGAGCCTCGGGGGCGCCCGCCGGCCTGCGGGCCAGATGGGGAGGAGGGCTGCCGTGCCGAGCGCCCCACGGCCGGACACTCCGCCCTCCGTGGGGCTGGTCACTCCTGTGGCCAGAGTCCCAGGAAACGCCGGACCTCTGTGGTCCAGGGACCAAGGCCGGCCAGGCCCGGGGAAGAAGAACCCACCCACTCCCCTCGGGCCAAGGCCCGGCCAGTCTGGCCAAAGCCCCACCCCCCGCCTTGGCCCATGCACACCTGCAGCCGCGGCCCCACCTGGTCTCCGAGATGCGCTGCCGTAGCGCCTTCACGTAGTCGAAGCTGTCCGGGCTGCAGATGTCGTAGACGAGCACGAAGGCGTCCGTGTCCTGCAAGCTCCAGTCCTTGGAGTCCGGCCACTCCTGGGGCGGGAGGCCAGAGTTTGCCAGAGACCCTTTCTCACCCTCCGAGCCTCTGAAGGGTCTCGACGCTAAACCCACAGTTCATCCTCAGGCCTCGGCCCCTGTGTGCCATCTCCCCTGAGCGCCCCCGGCCCCACTGTCCTCACGGTGGCCAGGTAACAATTTGTAACCGGTGCCTGAAGCCTGTGTGCTCCCAGCCCTCCTTCACCTTCAGCCTCCCCTCTGCCCACCCCTAGCTTCCTCCTTCCCCCTTCCAAAGCTCACCTGGGGGCAGGCCCCTTCCCTCCCTCCCTGGTTACTACAGCTGCCTCTAGGACTAATGTCAAAGCACTGGACGCCGTTTCTCCAGGCCCTCGGGGACTATTGATTGTGGGCAGCTGTACCCCATAAGCAGGCCTCCCGGCCTCCGGACACTCTGTTCTTTCCACCTGCAAGACGTTTGCCACTTCTTTCAATCAAAACTTCACTCATCCTTCCGGGGTCACCCCAAATGTCACCCCCTCCAGGAAGCCCTGCTTAATCCTGCATCCTCTTTCCTCTTCACCTCTCTGAGCCACCCAGCTCCAAGAATTCAAAGTCTGTCCTGGACTTTGCACAAATTGCTAAAGGAGTCTTTGCCCCCCGTCACAGGCATAAGGGAGCAAAGAATGATCGCCCTAGAACATACACCCCTCTGTCTGGCCCCGTCCTCCCCCACTGAGGCTCTGCTTGGGGCCCCCAAGTGTCCCACGCTCACCCTCAGGGAGGCACAACCGTGCCCGCCATGCACTGATCCAGAACCACCAGCGGAGGCAGGCAAATAACACAGGCACTTAGGTGAATGAGAAAAACCCGCTTTTCCAAATCGCTGGGCCTGGGGCCCGATCTTGGGCAACTGCAGGCCGGCAAGGAGAGGGAGACCCACAAACCACCGGGACACGTTCCTCCTTCAACCCAGGAGCGCAGCCGCACCGGGGGCTGGCCGGGCTGATGCGCACGTGTGCACCCAGCACCACCACCACCCCCCGCGCGCTGTCACACGCCCCTGCCCGCCCCTCGCCGCTACCTCCGGTGCCCCGGGGTTGTGACCCGGGCGGGCGCCGTCGCCGTCGCGGATGCTCAGGTCGTAGACCGCGCCGTCGAGCAGCACCGCGGGCCGGTAGAGGCGTGGCCCGTCCGTGGGCCGGTGGCGCTCGGGGTAGTCGCCGAACAGGAACTGGCGGATGATGGCCGTCTTGCCCACGCCCGGGGCGCCCAGCACGGCCACCCGCAGGCTGCCCCCCATGGCCCGCGCGCCCTGCCGCGCCCCGCGCCGGAAAGCCTCATGGGCCAGCCGCGCGCCCAGCGCCCCGCGCGCCCTGCCCCGCGCGCCCCGGCCCCGCGCGCCCCGGCCCCGCGCCCCTCGGCGCCGGGAGAGGCCAGGCCGGAGGGCGGCGAGCGGCGAGCGGCGAGCGGCGAGCGGCGCGGGCAGGTGCGGGGCCGGGAGAGGAGCGGCGCCTCCGCAGCGGCGCCTCCGTCCCGCTGTCGCGCCGTCCCGCTGTCGCTCCGCCGCCGCTCGCCGCCCCAGCCCGCGGAGCCGAGCGAGCGAGCGAGCGAGCGAGCCGAGCCTCCCGGAGGCGGCGATGAGGTAACCGCCGCCCGCCCCTCCCGCCCCTCCCGCCTCCCCCTACCCGCCCGGCCGCTCCTCCCGAGGGGTCGCGGGAAGGTGACTGGGCGCCGGCTCCGGCGACGGACCCAGCCCCTCCCGCCCCGCGCTCCTCTCCTCGGCTCCAAAATAGAAGCCCCCGCCCGCGCCCCCCGCGCCCCCCGCGCCCCCCGCGCCGCCCAGCCCTGCTCCCGCGCTGCAGACAGACCCGCCGGCGGGCTCCGGCCGCTCGGCCGCTCGGGGTCGGATGTGGCCCCGCCGTGTGACCTTGGGCGAGTCGCCGCGCTGCGCTGGCTCCTTTCCTGAGACCCTCCTACGGCTTTACTAGGCTGTTGCCTAGCGGTCACGGAACCTGCAGCCTTATCCCGGGTATCTGCGATTCAGAGAAGAAAGCAGGCGGGAGAGGGGACTCTTCAGGGCTGGGGGGCAGTGGGTGGTGGCCCCTGACGCCCGGCCTGTGGCCCCCCGTGAGGAGCCCTCCCACCGCTGTCCTGTGCACAGAGGTAAATGTCCAGCGTTAAAGAACATCAAATGGATGTCATCCAGGTGGAGCTGGACAGAGTGTGCTGAGTCTGGTACACACTGGGTCACAATCCCCTGTCCCAGCAAGGCTGAAAGATCCAGAAATTCGGTCAACACCGCCTCCGTCACTGCTAAGGCCAAGTTTTGCGCCCAAGCCTCCACCTGTAGCCTCCTTCACAGCCCAAATGCCCCTCTTCCTGGAGTAGGTAAGAAGCTCCACCAGCACTACAGCTGCGCAAAACTGCGTGTGCCGGGTCCTCTGCTTCTCCTGGGCTCCCCCCTGCAGAGGGGAGCTCTCCCACTTCTCCGGCCAGATGCCCAGCTGCTGGGGGAGTGCACAGACACGTCCGTGCTTCTGCCTGCATCTGCCAGGTGTTCCAAGTCTTCAAGCCCAGGGAGAGGGGACTCCGGGTTTCATCTTCCTTTCCTGCCAGAATTCTTTCCCTTCACTTACCTTCCCCACTCCCTTTGTAACATTTCAGGTTTCTGGGTTTTGTGAGCTGCCTCGATTCCCTTGGGGGAACAAAGCTGAGCCTAAATCAGCTAAGCCCCCCTTCCCTTTTGGCATTCAGGAGGGTGCAGGGCTGACATCAGGATAGGCTTCCTTATGCCCCTGGCTGGGACGCACATCTCTGACTGGAGCACCCTGTCTTCTTGCTCCTTGGCAGTAAGCCCACCCTTGGGAGCTAGTTCTGGGTGTCCTTCCTCTGGAAAACCTTCCTTGCTTCACTTTCCAAGAGAGTGCCTTCTTGGGTAAGGCTTCTTCAGGACCAGCAAATGGAGCTCTGTGGGGGGCGGGGGGTGCAGAGGGGCATTTCTGAATCCCAGTTTGCTTTCTCAGGGCATGGTTTGGGAATGATGGAGGACACTCTGGACAGGGAATGTCCTAAAGCTCCTACAAAGCCCTGCAGACCACACGGGGGTGACCCCTTTCCCAGGAAGCGTGTGCATCAGCACCCTAGCAGCAGTCCCCATTTAGCAAGAGCCTGTGAGGTACCACGTCCTGACCCATGGCTGCATTGCATCTTGAGGCCCAGCAATGGGATGCAAAGGTTTGCTTGATGGGCAGCCCTGGTGGCGCAGTGGTTTAGTGCCGCCTGCAGCCCAGGGCCTGATCCTGGAGACCCAGGATAGAGTCCCATGTCAGGCTCTGCATGGAGCCTGCTTCTCCCTCTGCCTGTGTCTCTGCCTCTCTCTCTCTGCCTCTCTCTGTGTGTGTGTGTGTGTCTCTATGAATAAATAAATAAATAACCTTAAAAAAAAAAAGAAAGGTTTGCTTGAGATTGCCCAGCAGGAAGGTGGCAGCATAAGTACTGAAACTCAGGACACTGGGTCAAGTCTGAGTTTCTTAGCAGCCCAATTTTATCTGAGCCCAGGGACGAGACGGCCTTCGGGAGAAAATCAGCTAGAGCCTGTGGCCCTGTGGGGAGGGACTTTGAGGAAGCCCATGTCATCCGCGTAGACTGAGCTGAAGCTGAGCTATGACAGGTGTGGGCTGCCCAGGTGCCAGGCTTCCCGAAGACTAGCAAGCCAGAGAACTTGGGCTGGGATATGAATTTCAAAGTTTCCCTCATAGGTCCCCTCACTCCTTCCCCAAGGAGAGGCAGCCAGGGTGCTGTCTGCTGCACCACAGCTCCCAGGCTCCTTACATGCTTCCATCTGGTGCTCCAGAGAGGACTTGTCAGGCCTCCATACATCTGTTCCTGTGGCACATGGGACCTGGTGCTGGGCACACGGTGGCTGAGCTGTTCCTACCTGCCCTCTGTGGCTTGTGAAGGAGCCAGGCAGGCAACCAGACAGACATATGGAAATAGGAGCTCTGGGCTGGTTTAGGCCTGAGGGCTGAGGGGACCTTGGAGGGGAGGGCACCCACCTACCAAGGCTGCGAGCTCAGAAAAGGCCTGATGCCACACCTAAGCTGAGCCCCAAAGGGGTAAGCCACAGAAAGCAGGGTGGGTTGAGAGGCTATTGAGAGGCACCTGGCAGGGGCAAGCACTGGGTGGAGAATCCTGAGCCCATAGCCTCCCAGTGCCAGCCCATCGAGCTCGCCCTTCCTGACACCTGTGCCCACATAGCTTCTTCCCAGCTGGCCCGATTCCAGCCCTTCCTTGGGGTCAAGCACCCTGGACTGCATCTACTCTCAGGGGCATTTGCTCTGAGTCCCACCACACCTCAACCTTGAATTGTGGTCTGTCCTGTTAATCACAGCACCATACCACTTGTCCCAACAGTGACTCACCACCATGCCCCCAGCCCTGGATAGGGGGTGCCCACTTCTCAAATGCTTGGTCATCATTATTTTTTTTTTAATTTTTATTTATTTATGATAGTCACAGAGAGAGAGAGAGAGAGAGAGAGAGAGAGAGAGAGAGAGAGAGGCAGAGACACAGGCAGAGGGAGAAGCAGGCTCCATGCACCGGGAGCCCGACGTGGGATTCGATCCTGATCTCCAGGATCGCGCCCTGGGCCAAAGGCAGGCGCCAAACCGCTGCGCCACCCAGGGATCCCTGCTTGGTCATCATTATAATGTCACCCATTGAGTGTAGTGGTCAGCCTCTTGAAGGCCTTCAGGACACAAGGAGGCAGGACAGAGCGGCACTCCCAGGCCTCTTGAGTTTGGAGGTCTCCTCCTAAGAGTGTGTAATCTGCACGATAAACTCCCTAAGCCTCAGTTTCCCTCTCTGTAATGGCATAACAATGGTCTTGACTTCACACAGTTGTGAGAGGAGAGGAGATAATTTTTTTTTTTTTATGATAGTCACAGAGAGAGAGAGAGAGAGAGGCAGAGACACAGGCAGAGGGAGAAGCAGGCTCCATGCACCGGGAGCCCGACGTGGGATTCGATCCTGATCTCCAGGATCGTGCCCTGGGCCAAAGGCAGGCGCCAAACTGCTGCGCCACCCAGGGATCCCAGGAGATGAGATAAAATGGAGAGAAAAACAAGACAATTTAGTAAGGTGAGGGGGATAAGATTTGTACGTATAAAACAATTTCATTTTTATATGCAAATAGCTATGGTTACAAAACAATGGAACAATGGAGGGACGTGTGTGTCTACATGGCTAAGTCTGCACACAGTTATTTCCTAGCTCTGTCTGCTGAGAGGGCCTAGAAATGGCCACCCCAGGGCAACAAACACACCTAGCACCTAGGTCTTGGTTTCTTTCTTTTCTTTCTTTTTCTTTCTTTTTTTTTTTTGGTAGGTCTTGGTTTCTAAGGCCGCTCGCCAGTGAAAGCAACCATGCTCCTTGGAGAAATGGCTGATGCTAGGGTTGGGACAGGACAAATACAGGAGCATCTTGTCATGCTGGAAAGTAAGGAGGTCGCAAAGTAACGCAAGGATGGGACACAGCAAAGGGACATAGAGGCTACCCAAGAGCTCCCAATGGCCAAAATGGAACAATTTAAGCAACAAAATATATAATGTACTTTTGGATTAAATCCAAATTGCAAAATAAATATGCATGAGTCTAGACTGCTATAAATGCCTGAATTAATAAATAAATATGGGAGGAGAAACCAACTCTTTCCTACAGAAGAATTTCAAATAATTATGTAGCTACTCCCTGCCCCCACATCTTTCCAGAGTGTAGGCTGTACTTAGTGACTTGCTTCTAAAGATTTTTTTTTTTTAATTTATTCATGAGAAACACAGAGAGAGAGGCAGAGACACAAGCAGAGGGAGAAGCAGGCTCTCTGCAGGAAGCCCGATGCAGGAATCCATCCCGGACCCCGGGATCATGCCCTGAGCCGAAAGCAGACGCTCAGCCGCTGAGCCAGCCAGGTGTCCCTAGTGACTTCCTTCTAAAGAACAGACTAGGGAAAGGGGAAAAGAGTAACTCTACAATGAAAAAGCTGAAACACTACCTTGGCCAAGTGATCCAGGCTAGCATGACCGTGATAGACTCATACTGATGTAGTGTGCCCCTGATCCGGTGTAACAAGAAGGGCAACTCTCTGGTCTTCTTCCTAAAAACCCACAGCCCCGGTCTAACCACGAGAAAAACATCAGACAGACCAAAATTGAGGGATAGTCTACAACATCCTTGACCAGTACTCCTTGAAATTGTCAAGGTCATGAAAAACAAAGTCTGAGTAACTGTCATAGATTAGAGGAGCCTGAGGAGACATGACAACCACATGGAATGTGGGTTCCGGGAACAGAATGAGGACATGAGTGGGAAAACTAGTCAAATCTGAATAAAGTCTGGAGTTTAGTTTAAAAATTATGTATTACATAATTTATGTTATTTTATAAATAATATATTATTCTTCTATTTATACATTAAACATGTATTCACATCATAAATATATATATGAAAGGAAAAGAGTCCATTTGTAAAAAGGAACAAAAAAAATACTCATGAATCTATGTAAGAATAAATGTGCATGGAAGAACTTTTAAATGAAGAAAAATATTACAGAGATTGGGCATCTGGC